CACGCAGAACCCTGCACCAGCGGAACCAAAGCGGGCTGGGGGGGCATTGGTGAGTTACCCTTGAAAGATTCAAAAGGCTTGTTTCGCATGATTGAACCTGCAGCGAAACCCGACACGGCTGGGAGGTGTAATGAGTTGCTTACGTGCACAACGGGCGTGCACAACGGGCGTGCCGTCTTCTAGAGACTGCCAGGTTTGAAACACACGAGGAACCAAGCCTGGCACGTAGAACCCCGAAGGGGACCTAAACCGGGCTGGATTAGATGCTTGCAAAAAAAAACAAAAAAACACTCCACGAAGACAGGTTCTGCTTCATTCCACCACGGTAACATTCCAACCCGCAGGAGACGTCTCTCTTGGCAAATATAATCTTCTAGAACCATCTCCCTTTGCTGATTAAAAACATCAACAAATCTCCTCTCTCTGCAATTCTAACCCTCAGCAATCGTTCTGCTGTGCAATTCTGACCCATGTGCGTCGCATGTGAGAGAATCTCGGCTTCAGCTGCAAGTGAGACAGCTCCTAATCCCCCTCCTCCACTTTCCAAAGGTATCGCCAGGCAGAAATAAGGTCTTCTTACCTGGACCCGCGGGTCCTGCGTAAACTTTCGGGTACGGCTGCGCGTGTAGCAGGTGAACCTTGTCCTCCGCTTGTATCACATTCTCGAGAGCCCACTTTAACGCGTACGAGCTCTCGTCGCTCGGGTCCACCGCTACGAGAATCTTCCGCGATTTCTTCAGCGGCGCGCTCTCGTCTCCGGCCGTGGTCCCAACGGTCACCTCGTCCGGCTTCGCGGCAGCAGCGTCGGTCGACATGCTCAGGAGGCTCCTCCTGCGCGTTCGCTTTAGGTATACGTAACAGATGAACGATATTTCGAAAGTGTTGCCGGAGGCGATCGAGAGAAGGTGTTAACGAGCTACAAGGCCTTTCCAATTAGGTGGCTAATTATGAACGTCAGATTCGGTACTAGGCTGAGACAGTTTTTCCACGTCGATGGCGTCAAAGGACAAGCTAAGAAACAAAAGCAAAATTAAGCAGAAAACTTGCAAGAAATCAAGCAGAGGTTAGCTCGTCGATGGGCATGTAATTGAAGGTTGAAGAAGCTAAGAATGAGCAAGAAAAGACAATGCTGGAGAAAGAAACAGGAGGTTCGTGCTCGCCTGCTGTGTTGGAACCTCGAATCCGATTTCTGACAGAAATGGGGAGATGTCTGTCACTATCTTTCCTTGAAACCTTTCCCGACCGTTTTCACGGAATAACAAACCGTAGATTAAAGTTCTTAACCAAGCAAAACAGTTAGCTCATTTGGCACACCCAACGGTACCTGCTGCTGTTCATGTCTTGTTGGCCGCACAGCTCAGCACATGCACAGCTCACACCGACGCTTATCCAGCACATTCGCTTATGTAAGCGCGAAACCCTGGCTGCTTTTACTACAGGTTGACGCAAAATGCTAGATGCGAATTTGGTTACTGGTCAGGTCGTAAGTGCAGAGATGTTGGTGAAACGCAAACACGTGGCCACTCATGACTCGAAAATTCTTGGATCCAACGGAGGCAAGGCGCGGAGCCCACGTGGAGTGAACCGTTGGGGTGTAGACTGAGGCCTTGTTCGGCAGGCGCATCAGAATCTAGGCTCGGGAATGAGCTCTGGTTCGGGAGTGTTGCAACATACCAGATAGTCAGGTTTGGGTCTGGTTCGTGTTTTGTCAATTTGTTGCAGGCTCGCGGAAGGAGTGTGTCACGTGTCCCACGACTGTCTGGTCTGCCCCGAGGGTTGCTGGGTAGGAACTTAACACTCCCAGAGCAAAATCGATGTTACGTGTTCAACCCTAATTTGGTGAAAAGTTTGGCGAATCTTCAATGCTGCCCCGCATCAGTGATGCGCGCATGGATTCCTCTCCACGACGCACCATGCGCGCATGACTGATGCGTCGGTTTGCCAGGGGAGGTTGGTTCCAGGAACAAGGTTTTGGCCCCCAAACCGGGGGCCAAAAAGACCGTTCGGCAGTCAGACTGCTTTGATGCTCATGCGCCTATCCCGAACTATGATAGCCGATCAACCGCTTATCTCGGAAACATCTGGGGTGGTCGTTTTACTGCTTCCCATTCCCGAGCCTGTGCTCATGCGCCTGTCGAACAAGGCCTGAAAGGGGAGTTTCGTGATCGTTATTACTTGGCGAAACACTATTACAGCGGTAAACAAATCCATGTCTAAATCATCATCTATATCCGTTATGGGGATTAACGGCCCCATCACTCACACAATTCTCTCTACCAAGCCACAACGCATCATCAAATAGACTAGTCTGCCAAACAGATGCGAATGGGGCTCAGGTGAAGATAAAGCTTCCGCCAGGAACTACAGAATCCAGCACACACCACTCGCTGGTCAGTCCACCCACATCCATCTGATCCCAAGTGCCATGGCTTCACCAACTATCTGAAACGCCTCCATCACTGCCCAGCACCCTGCTACTGCTCGTATTCCTGGCAAATGTACTGAACCACATCTTTATCCGAAGTTAAAGCCCCTTTCACTGCTCGTACCCCTGCTGCATGTACTGATCCAAGTCCTTATCCAAATCCACTTCCGACACCTTCCCTTCACCACGTCCCCCCCTACCTCCCCTCCCTCGCCCCGCCCCACTTCCGCCTCCCCTCGCCCCCCCTCTTGCAGCCGTCTGCGCTCTGGTTACTGTACCAGGCCTCCCCGCACCTCTAGGTCCCAATCCGAACATGGTCGCCCCAAACGCAGTCCTCGCAGCAGTAGCGCGCGTCCTCACACCCGCCGCCGCAACAACCGCACCCCCACGCCTTCCCGCAACAATTCCCCCCCTGCCAACTCCCGCTGCTCCCCGCCCGCGCGCACCCCTCCCCCTCCCCGCAACTGCGCCCCCGGACCCCACGGCAAAGCGCAGGTTCGGCGGGACCTGAACCCCCTGGTTACCAGGAAACGTCAAGCGAGAGTGAACCGAGCCTGCACCAGTTGCACCCCCCGCAGCTCCTGCCTTCCCCTTCACGGCGCCAGCCCCGCCGGGAAAGGTGAGACGCGACTGTATGGGCGGGGTTGCTGGTACCGCTGCGGCCGCGGCGGGCTTTTTCGCCGATGACGTGGCAGCTGCGGGTTTGCTCCTCGATTTAGACCCGTTCGCTGCAGTGCTGCTGGGGCGGGTGCTCCCGCCTCCCCCTGTTTGCTTTCCGCCTGCACGCGCGGAAGCGGACGGGGGAGCGGAAGGAGCGGCGGCAGAAGATACTTTCCGCTGCGCAGCTAGAGCCGATTGCCGTGCTTCGGCTTGGCGCGCTTTTGCCTCCGCACGACGGACGCTTTGACTGCGCTGGGCGGATAGAGCGCGAAACCGTTCGTCAAGAGTTTTCATCGTGTCGTTAGGGTTTGCATACGCGGCTTGCGTGGCGAAGGGAGGCTGTGCGACAACGACGCGACGTGCGGGGCCGTGTTGTGCGACTGCCATGCCTGGTGGTGCAGAGAAGTGAGAGAGTGGAACTGCCATCGGCTGTGGCGCGTCGTCAGGGCCATTGCGAACGGTTACGAACATGGCGGCGAGGTTAGAGGCGAAACGCGAGGGAGATTGCGAAGCAGTAATATTATTGCAAAACTCGAGGTGAGGGGAAACACTCAAAACCGATCAGCCTAAACGCAATATGCTGGACACATGAAAGAATAGAACACGTATTCAATGCTCCGCTGAGTAAATCTACTGACGGCCGTTCCTGCTCAAGAGAACGCGAAATTCGAGGAAACTAGGCTCGATGAAGAAGCGGCAAAACCGGAGGCCCAACTGGAGAGCAAGAAACCGGAGCTAGAGGAGTCAAGGGAATGGGAGACCTAAGGAAAAGGAGGACCGATTTTCCCGACATGGAGACGGACGGGAAGGACCCAATCAGACGGATGTAGAGTCCGGTATACTGCGGTGGTAGCTGGTAGCATCCTGATCGTTGCGATTGGCGTTCTTGTTTCAAGTAATACACTTCGTCCGCGTTGGGGTCAGGCGAGGGGTTGGTGGGAGAGTGTTGACGTGGTTCGTTCTGGCGAATTGACGAAAAGCAACGTCGCGATGTGGGATTTCGTGGGGGTCCTCCTTCACAATCAAGCGACGTGATTTCTGGCGTAACCTGAAACATGGTTTTGTAACAACTCTGTTTGCGAACCCTCCACTCTTTCTGTTACAACTGCAGGGAACGCGCGAGACGTGAAAACTTTCGCGCGTTCGAATGTGTCAGAGGACGTCAGAACAACACCGAAACACTGATCAAGCACATCCGCTGCTATCACACAAAACCATCCCCAAGAATCTCTTCCTCGTCTTACAGTTACAGCCCTCCTCGGAGACTGGACTCGGACTGTGTTTCCTGAGCGGAGTCTAGCCGTGTGCTCCTCCAGAAGCTAGTTCGCTCCTCCAGGTTCGCTACAAAAGCGTAGCCGCTACGATTTTGTTCCAAAAAAGCGAAAGCGCTTAGCCTCTGTTTTCGATTCACCAACAGTGTGTGCAGGAGACACGCCGTTAGGTTGTCACTGTCCAACATTTGTTCCATGCGAGCATTTGGTGCTTCAGTCGTCATGCAATCAAGTCCTCGCTAGAACGACCAGACTTGTGCCAGCTTAGGAATGGCCGCATGGGTTTTCATGACGGCCCGAAGGACGTCGCCGGTAGGTCTAACGGCTGGGAGCCTCTAGTCGATTCGCCTTTCGTTAGAGTAATCGGCGAGAACGGATCAGGCAGTGCTCGTTCTTCGACCACACACGCCGGCCATTCAATACAATCACGTTCGTTACAAGGTCATATTCAACACTCGAATCCAACTCCCAGTTACGACAAGTCTTCCAAGGCCGGGTCTTTTGGAGTGATTCGTCGGGTGGGAAGCCGCGATAACCTCGATAAATCCACCACGCCGACAGCATTTATCGCGAATTTGTGTAACCAGAAGGCTTGGTTTGCGAGCTTCGCCAAGGATAGAAAACGTTTCGGAATTGTCGCAGCCATGGTCGCATGGGGTCGCGGTGCGACAGCAGCCGTGTTCGGGATAGGTAGAGGCCGGCATTCCCAAGGTGGACCCGATGGCGGGAAAAGCGGGTTACCACTAACATTTTCGGATAGCGATCGGTGGAAGACGAGCAATGGGTGCGGTTTCGCCGTGCTGGTAACCCGACGATGGGAGTCGCTGCTGGTGTGGGCGAGCAGTGGCGGAATTCGCTGGCTGGTCGCAGGCTTGGCTATCGCTATCATGTTTTCCAAGGCCCTTGCCGTGTGGCTACAGACGGTATGTGACTCTAACGTGATTATACAGAGCGGTTGAAGGCCGAGGGTCTGGAGGGATGAGAGGGAGGTGAGAATGTGATAGTATCCTACATTGAATGTGTTACTACCTGTGCCAATGAGTGCAAATGCGCGTGCTATTGTATGCTGCAGTCTTGGTGATGTTGACACGTCTCATTTCCACACTTCTCAGCCCTCCTCCGTTTTTTTCTCCCCCTCAGCTTCTTACTGGTCCATCCCCTTCCCGTACGCCCCCAACTCCCCCCTTGTCGCTTGTTTCGACCCTACCTCCCTGCCACCTCCCCTCGTCTCTCTCTCTCACCTCCTCTCTCCCTCCTCCCCTCCTTCCAATCCCTACTTTCTTTTCCGATCTTCCCTTTCTCCCTCTCCTTCCCTCTCCACCTCAGCTTCTGATCACCCCCCACTGCATCCTTCGGATCTGATGCCACCAACGTCCCTCTCTTTACCGAGATGCCTCGCCTTTGATCACCTAATACCGACCTCTTCCTACCCTCCACTATCTCTTGCCTTACTTTGTTCCCATTCAGCTTCTAATCGGCCCTACTGCTTCGTTTGGGTCAGACACCGCCTACTTTCCCCTCTACTCCGGTCAGGGGTGGCTCGCCTGTGAACCACCTTCAACAACCCTCTCCCTGCCCTCCACTCCCTCTTCTCTTCCCTTCTTCTCCCCCTCAGCTGCTGATCGGCCCCACTGCATCCTTTGGATCCGACACCGCCAACTTCCCCCTCTACTCCGAGGTGGCTCGCTGGTATGCCAGTGGAGTCACGGCCGTGCTTGCACTCATGGCCACCAAGGTGGGTTGGTGAGTTGGAGTGAGTGAGTGAGTGAGTGAGTGAGTATGTGTGTGTGTGTGTGTGTGTGTGTGTGTGTGTGTGTGTGTGTGTTGGCATGGCATGGGTGTGAGGCGAGGTAGTTGTAACTCTCATCCGAGGCACTGGTAGGCGAGGTTTGAGTAACTCTCCCCTCTGCTCCGATCCGAGGTGGCTCGCTGGTATGCGAGCTTGGTCACAGCCGTGCTTGCACTGATTGCCACCAAGGTGGGTGAAAGTAATAGGCTTGGTGGCATGTGCATGTGCATGTGCATGTGATGTGCATGTGCATGTGCATGTGATGTGCATGTGCTTGTGATGTGCATGTGCATGTGCATGTGATGTGCATGTGCATGTGATGTGCATGTGCATGTGATGTGCATGTGCATGTGCACGTGACTGCATGTGCATGTGAGTGCATGTGCACAAAAGTTCCTTCCCCTGAACTCCCCCATCTCATCAGTGCCTAGGTCGCCCCTCTTTCTTGCTCTGAGCCTTTTCAATGCTCCCGTCCTATTCCTTCTGTCATTCCTCCTCCCCCTAATTTATCCTCACTACCAGTCCCGACCCCATCTTCTCTCATCCCACACCCTCATTCTCCCTTTCTCAAACTGCTCCTGGGTCGCCCCATATTGTCTCCCCTCGCTGTCTTCTCCATCCTACCCTTCCCCTCCCTCTTGCCACCCCTGCTTCCCCCCTTCCAACAAGCAGCTCCTGGGCCGCCCCATACTCTCGCCAGTCCCCATCTACTCCTTTGCTGGCGCTGGTGCTGCCATCACCATCACGGCAGTGTGCATCAGAGAGGTACAGTCAGGTTGAAGAGGTGAATCCGAAAGGTGCAGCGTGGCTGAGAATGGTGGATCAGAGATGTGCAGTGCGGTTAAAGAGGTGAATTGGAGAGATATTGTGCAGTTGAGAGAGGTGGATCAGGGAAGTGCAGTACAGTGGAGGGAATGCATAGCTGGCGTGCTGCCAATGCCATAACAACAGTGTGCATCAGAGAGGGTGCAGTGCGGCTAAATGAGGCACATTTGAGGGGTATAGTGCTGCTGAGATGACATTGTTATAGGTTCAATGTACTCCTAAGAGTGATAAGCGGTGCAGAGCAGTTGCGATAAGTGTATGTGTTGTTGAGAAATGGCACATGGGCAGGTGTTAGTAGGTAACCCTTTGACTACCTGTGCGTGATGAGACGATTTTTTAGTCGACTAAAAAAAACAATGGTTGGAGATCATCTTTGCCATCAATGGTTGGAGATCATCTTTGCCATCGATGGTTGGAGACCATCTTTGCGATCGATGGTTGGAGATCATCTTTGCCATCGATGGTTGGAGATCATCTTTGCCATCGATGGTTGGAGATCATCTTTGCCATCGATGGTTGGAGATCATCTTTGCCATCGATGGTTGGAGTGTAGATGATCTTTGCCATCGATGGTTGGAGATCATCTTTGCCATCGATGGTTGGAGATCATCTTTGCCATCGATGGTTGAAGATCATCTTTGCCATCGATACACTTCAACAAGCTGACACATCGATGGTACCTGACACACATCAGTCCATCAGTGCGTGTTGATCGCCAACCTGACACCCCATTGCATTCGCAGGTTGTGAGAATTCTCAGTGAAAAGCCCAGATTCACTTGAGTGCATCAGTGCAGTGCAGTGTGATTTGATTTGATGTGATGTGATGTGATGTGATTTGATGTGATGTGATGTGATGTGATGTGATGTGATGTGATGTGATGTGATGTGATGTGATGTGATGTGATGTGATGTGATGTGATGTGATGTGATCCCCTCATGGCAGCTCAATGGGCGTATGGGCAATCAAGGACCCACCTGCATGGTCCGCATGGCCTTATCATGCATGTGACATGTCAATCCTCTCACGCATGTTGTTTCCCTTCCCCACGCCTTTTACCCCTGTGCATGCTGATCCCCCCATGGCAGCTCAACGGGCGCATTGGCATTGGAGCCACCTGCATGGTCTATGCCCTGTGCACTCTCTCACTGCTTGTGAGTCCCTTCCTTTTCCTCGCATGCAAGCCCATCTGTCTTTGCTTTGACACGTCTCAAACCCTGCATGGTCTACGCCCTCTGCGCTCTCTCGCTGCTTGTAAGTCCCTTCTTCTCCTAATCGTGCAAGCAAGCCCATTCCCCTCCCAATAATCTCTCGGTACACGCGTCTACTCACCTCACAGGGTCTAAGCTGCCTGCTGCAGCCTAAATGGGCATCGCCTCAAGCTATTGCTAGAGCGTTCAGTGCTTGCTTAGGGTGCACATCAGCCACAGGGCACGTCAATCCTGGCATTCAGCTCATTTTCTTTCACAGCTCTGGCAGTCGGTACTGAGTGGGGCGCCCATGCTGGTGGGCTCCTGCAGCGGCGCATGCCCTCTCCAGTGGCAGCAGTGGCGTGGCGGCGAGTGCACACTCCAATAGCCCAGCTCCTCCCTGTTGTGCCCACAATCTCCTCTCTTACTTAACCTCTCGCAGCTCTGGCAGTCGATACTGAGTGGGGCGCCCATGCTCGTGGGCTCCTGCAGCGGATCCTCCCCCGTGGCAGCGGTGGCGTGGCGGCGAATGCACTCGCTGCGTCTGCTGGGATGTCTGCTCGCCTGCCTGGTCGCCTACAGCTGCTGGGTGGGTGTGAGGGAGTGCGTGAATGAGGGAGTGAGTGAGGGAGGGTGTGGGGGAGTGAGGCTGGGCTTTTGTCAACCCTTGTCTCACATGCTCCACCCCACTGCTTCCCTGTGTGATTGTGCCTGCCCCACCAGCTCTGGTTCCCACCGGCCTCTGAGGCAGCGCGGGTGCTACTGCCCTCTGCCACGCCGCTTTACCTCTGGCCGCCTGCCAGCATGGGGGTGCGCTACTGGTGGTGGATCGGGCCCCTCGCCGTGCCCATATTCGCGTTTCTCCTGTTCTGGTACGTGCTGCCGCCACTGTTGCCGGTACCTCCAAACGCGGCTGCCTGCCTGCCAGCAAGGGTGTGCGCTACTGGTGGTGGATTGGTCCGCTTGCCGTGCCCATATTCGCGTTCCTCTTATTCTGGTAAGGGTCGGGCATGCCCACCTCTCCGTTTCCCCTCTTCTGGTGTGTGCAACTCTAGACTGTGCTGGCCCGTCAGCATAAGCAGCTAGCTGTTCCCATTTTTGCCACGCGCTGCCACGCCACTCTACCTCTGGCTGCCCTGCACTGGTGGCCCTGCACTGGTGCATCTGCCTCCGTCACAACCTCCTCCCTACACTCTCATTTTCCCACCTCCCCTTCCACCGTCAAGCACCCCTCTTGCCTTTACACCTACCGCTTTCCACGCTCTCTCCTGCAGCGGGAGTGGCCAGGCAGTCCCGCTGCAGGAGCGCATCTATGTGCATGCGATTGCACTATTGACGAATTCTCAAGAGGGTGGGCTGGCTCGACCACAACGCAACTGCCTCGCTTTTGAGAATTCTCAACGAGCAATTCCCAAATGGCTGCAGGATGACTGCATTCTGCATTCTCAAAGAGCACCTATGTGCGCACGAATGCAGAATGACTGCCTGTCACCTCGACAGACGCCTTATGCATCGGATCCGAGTTTTGAGACGTCTCAAAGCTATCACTGCAGGAGCGCACCGCACCTATTTGCATGCGAATGCACTACGACAGTCCTGTCACATCGATGGGCGCATTCTGCATCCCCTGTCCCCAGCCAACCCTCTTTCTCCCTGTCAGTCCCCTCTCCTGCAGCTCGGACGGCCTAGCACTGGGCTGCAAGAGAGAGTCTCCGTGCAGACCTGCAGTCCTCCTGCGGCCTAGCAGTGGGCCTAGCAGTACGACCTACCTGCTAGCCCGCTCTGCTCCTCCGTCCTCCCCCCATTCTTCTCGTCCCTCTCTCCCCCAGCCCTGCCAAGCTAGCAGGGGCACTGCAGGAGCGAGTCTCTCTACCTGCACTGCGACCTGCCAGTCACCTGCTTCCACCTGATGCAGTCCCTCTACTCCCCCTAACCCCCCCATCTCTTTCCCCCAACCTGCAGCTCTGACGGCCTAGCAGTGGCGCTGCAAGAGGGAGTCTACGTGCAGTACCACCTAACTGCAGTACCACCTACCTGCAGTACCACCTACCTGCAGTACCACCTACCTGCAGTACCACCTACCTGCAGTACCACCTACCTGCAGTACCACCTACCTGCAGTACCACCTACCTGCAGTACCACCTGCTATTCACAGGCAGCCACTTGTGCAATCCCTCTCCTCTGCCACATCTTCTTCTTTCCCTCTCTCTCCCCCCTGCAGCTCTGACATTCTGGCAGTGGCGCTGCAAGAGCGAGTGTACCTGCAGTTTGGCCTGCCATTCACCTCCCTGGTGCACTACGTCTCCGCCTGGTGCAGTTTGGCCTGCCAGTCACCTCCCTGCCAGTCACCTCCCTGCCAGTCACCTCCCTGCCAGTCACCTCCCTGCCAGTCACCTCCCTGCCAGTCACCTCCCTGCCAGTCACCTCCCTGCCAGTCACCTCCCTGCCAGTCACCTCCCTGCCAGTCACCTCCCTGCCAGTCACCTCCCTGCCAGTCACCTCCCTGGTGCACTACGTCTCCGCCTGATGCTCCGTCTTGCACCACCCCTCGCACCACTCCCTTCCCGCCTTGCAGCTCTGACGGCCTAGCAGTGGCGCTGCAAGAGCGAGTCTATCTACAATACGACCTGCCAGTCACCTCGCTCGTGCTCTACGTGTCCACATCCGCCTTGTTTGTTGACTTCTGGGGTAAGCACGTAACCTGCATTCACCTGCTAGTTGACTGACATTAGAGCTTGCCGCTATCGACCTGCCACTCACCTTGCTCGTGCTCTATCTGTCCACAACCACCTTGTTTGTTGACTTTTGGGGTAAGCACGTAACCCCACTTCCTCGTTGCGTAAAATGTGTTCAGAGTAGACTCAGTACGACCTGCTAGTCACATCACTGGTGCTCTACGTGTCCACATCCGCCTTGTTTGTTGACTTCTGGGGTAAGGAAGCACGTAACATGCATTCACCTACCAGTCAGCATTAGAGCTTGCCGCTATCGACCTGCCAGTCACCTCGCTGGTGCTCTATGTGTTGTTGACTTCTGGGGTAAGTACCTCTGCTTCCTTGTTGCGTACATTACCCTTGTTTTTGGTCAGCATTCCCGTCAATCTATCTCCACCCATCCTTCGTCCAACCCTTCCACCCGAACGTTTTTCCAACCCTAAATGGCAGCTTTTCTCTCAAAATACTTTCGGCATGGCCGCAACCCCGACCCCCTGTATGCACCATCTCCCACATGCCCCAAACCCCTCCTTCCACCACCCCCCCCCCCCCCATGCCAGCGTTTGCCTTGCGCGACCACTTGGACCGCGCCTTTGGCTTCGTGTTTGACTGCCCGCACTGAATCTAGATGCCAGCACTTACCAACCCTCTTGAACACCCCCCCCACGTGCGCCAACCCTCATACACCAGCGTTTGCCTTCAGCGATCACTTCGACCGCGCATTTGGCGTCGTGTTTGACTGCCCGCACCAACCCTCCCATGCCAGCATCTACCAAACCACTTCACCACCCCCCTCCCCACATGCGCCAACCCTCATACACCAGCGTTTGCCTTCAGTGACCACTTCGACCGCGCCTTTGGCTTCGTCTTTGACTGCCCGCAGTGCCTGCTGTACCTCGTGCTCGCATCCGTGGTACGTGTGTGTACGTGCTGGTATGTGTACATGTGTACGTGCTGGTATGTGTACATGTGCACGTGCTGGTATGTGTACATGTGCACGTGCTGGTATGTGTACATGTGTACGTGCTGGTATGTGTGCATGTGCACGTGCTGGTATGTGTACATGTGTACGTGCTGGTATGTGTACATGTGCACGTGCTGGTATGTGTGCATGTGCACGTGATGGTATGTGTACATGTGTACGTGCTAGTATGTGTACATGTGTACGTGCTGGTATGTGTACATGTGCACGTGCTGGTATGTGTACATGTGTACGTGCTGGTATGTGTGCATGTGCACGTGCTGGTATGTGTACATGTGTACGTGCTGGTATGTGTACATGTGTACGTGCTGGTATGTGTACATGTGCACGTGATGGTATGTGTACATGTGCACGTGCTGGTATGTGTACATGTGTACGTGCTGGTATGTGTACATGTGCACGTGCTGGTATGTGTACATGTGTACGTGCTGGTATGTGTACATGTGCACGTGTGGCTGTGCATGAGTGTGTGGTAGCGCCTTAGGTTTCCTCCCTGACTGCCCGCAGTGCCTGCTGTACCTTGTGCTCGCCTCTGTGGTACGTATGTGTGACCCGCACATGCTGATGTGAAACACATACCGCACATACCGCACACATATCACATACACAACAGATACCACACACATGACACATCACACACATCCCTTCACCTTCCCTCCATCCTTTCACCTTCCCTCCGTCCCTGCACCCTCTCTTCATCCCTCCATCCCTTCAGTGTTTCAAACCCTTCAGTGTTTCAAACCCTTCAGTGTTTCAACCCCTTCAGTGTTTCAACCCCTTCAGTGTTTCAAACCCTTCAGTGTTTCAACCCCTTCAGTGTTTCAAACCCTTCAGTGTTTCAACCCCTTCAGTGTTTCAACCCCTTCAGTGTTTCAAACCCTTCAGAGTTTCAATCCCTTCAGTGTTTCAATCCCTATCTATGGCCACAGCATGACCCACCCTCGTCCCCTTTCCCTCATATCACTCTCCCTGTCTCATCGCCTAACCTCACCTTCCCCTATTAATAAATGCACCCCTTGCTGATGCCCCTTCCACCCCCCTCCCTCTCTCCCTTACCTCTGCCCTCCCCTCTCTCATTCCTTTCCTCCCGGCCCCCCCCCTCCAACTGGAGCCATCGACGCTGGCAGCCTGTCTAACAGCGTCCCAGCTGTTGAGAGTCCCGGTCTGTCAAACATACCCCTCCGCTTTCTCACTCCTTCTCCTCCTCCCGCCCTTCCTCTCCGCCCCCTCCCACGGCAGCCATCAGCGCTGGCAACCTTCCTCACGGCGCTGCTGCTGAGAGTCTCAGGCGGGCTCGTCTCCTCTCTCGTCTTGCGGGTGAGCCCCCGCCCCTCTGCTTCTCGCCCGCGGCTCCTCCTCTCCTCTCCATTGCCTGCCCCCTCTCTCTTGAAGGAGGCCCTGAAACTGATAGGTGCTGCTGAGAGTCTTCGGCGGGCTGGTCCCTTGTCTCGCCTGGCGGGCGGGTGAGCCATCCACCATCACATGGAAACGCCGCATATGTGCAATGAAGTCACTTGTGACTTGGCGTAGCAACGACTGCTGCCAAAAGAGGAAAGTGTGGGGTATTTAGCTTCCTAGTCTCTCCTCTCTTGCCTTGCAGGTGAGTTTCCCATCACCACTGCTTTTGCACCCCCCTTCTTTGTTTCTGTAACTCAAGCAACACTTCCGAGTCCCTTACTTCCCTAGTCTTCTTTGTTTGCCCCTACCGTCCCTCGCTTTCCTATCCTTCCTCTACATCCCTCACTTGCCACACGCCGTCCCTGAGTGCAAACCATCACGATCCCCATTTTCTTCCCTCTGGACCTTGGCCCATGCTTTAGCTTTCTCTCTCTGCTCCGTTCCCTCCCTCCCTCCTCCCTCCCTCCCTCTCTTCTCCCTTCCCTCCCTCCCTCCTCCCTTCCCTCCCTCCCTCTCTCCTCCCTTCCCTCACTCCCTCCTCCCTTCCCTCCCTCCCTCCTCCCTTCCCTCCCTCTCTCCTCCCTTCCCTCCCTCCCTCCTCCCTTCCCCCCCTCCCTCCTCCCTTCCCCCCCTCCCTCCTCCCTTCCCTCCCGCACTCCTCCCTTCCCTCCCTCCCTCCTCCCTTCCCTCCCTCCCTCCTCCCTTCCCTCCCTCCCTCCTCCCTTCCCTCCCTCCCTCCTCCCTTCCCTCCCTCCCTCCTCCCTTCCCTCCCTCCCTCCTCCCTTCCCTCCCTCTCCGGCCCCATCCGTCCCTCTCTGCCCCATGCAGGTCGTCATGATCCTCCTTCTCTTCCCTCTGGACCCTTTGCACCGCTCTGGAAAGTGCCTCAAATTCTTACAGGCGTGGTAAGCACGATACGCCCTCTACCATCGTCACCTTCTCTATCATCCTCCCAACCCCTCTACCATCCTCCTAACCACTCTGCCATAACGCTCTGCATCTGAAGTGGGTTCCTCCCAGCTCATTGGTATGAGAAGTGTTTTTTCCGCTGGCCTTGTGGTGAGGCTCATTGTTCCTCATGAGCTGCGCTGCACATACGTCCAACCCTCTCAAAGCACTTGCCACCCAATCTGTTGCTCCAATTCTGAATTGACACAGCATGAACTCGGTAGTGAACGCCAGCACTTCCCCTCTCTCGGCATGTTGCATTATTAACAGATGACTGTCCCGTTTGTTTCCCAACATGCTGCGCTCCTCCTCCTGCCTCCTGCTCTTGCCTCCTCCTCCTGCCTCCTTCTCCTGCCTCCTCCTCCTCCTCCTCCTCCTCCTCCTCCTCCTCCTCCTCCTCCTCCTCCTCCTCCTCCTCCTCCTCCTCCTCCTCCTCCTCTCCTCCTCCTCCACCCCACTTACAACCATTCTCTCCTCCCTATTCACAATCAACCCCATCCCCGCTTTCAGGGCGTAAGGTGGCGACTTCTCCCTCCCCGTCCCCTTTTCAGAGTATAATGGTGGTGGCAATGTGCCTCTCCCTAACAACCTAGGCCCCCCACATTCCCACTTGCCCCTCCTCATCATCTCTACCCCTTACGCCACCCCTCTTCAAGGCATAATGACGGTCATGCTCTCCCCTCAGAAACGGCATCCCTCACTTTCTCGCATCCCCTGAATCATCTCAACACACTTTCTCTTTTCCACCCATTTACTCTCCACAATCTCCCTTTCCGCTCCCTCTTCTTCAGGGCAAAATGGTGACCATGCTCTCTCTTTCTGACTGACGTCCCTCACTTTCTCACTAGCCCCTGCTCATCTCACACCCTTTCTTACTTGTCTCCTCCCACCACAATCATCCGTCTCCCTCTTCCCCTTTAACAGGGTATAATGGTGACGTTCCTCACTTGCTCTCTCTTGTTAACTAACGTTGCTCACTTTCTCATTGCCCCCCTGCTCATCTCTGCACCCCACTCCCTCTCTCACTCTTTCCATCAGGGCATAACGGTGGCAATGGTTGCTCTCTTAATAACTGACGTCCCTCACTTGCTCTCCTCCTCCTCCTCTTCCTCCTCCTCTTCCTCCTCCTCGTCAACCATCCTCACATCCTCCACGGCTGTTCTGCCAGTTAGTAGTGGAGGTGGCGGATCAGGGTCGGCGGTTACCAGTCCTGGCAAAGGCAGTAATGTGGTTACCATCGAGGCTCCCGATGAGTGAGCTGCTCTGCTGCGCTGCTGCTCCTCCTCCTGCGCCCCTGGCGGTGGGGGGTTGTCGGATCAGTGTCGGCGGTTACCAGTCCTGGCAAGGGCAGTAATACGGTTACCATCGAAGCCCCCGACGAGTGAGCTGCCCTGCTGCTGCTGCTGCTGCTGCTAGTCCTGACGATTCTGCTGGTGGTGGGGTTGTGGTTTGGTCTGTTGCCTGCTGTTGCTGCATGATCTTACCTTACCTGATCTCTCGGTGCAGTTTTAGCTGCCGGCTAGATGATATCATGGTGCCTTACCCTTGTGGCTCGTACTTTAAGTTGCACCCATTTACGCTATTAAAATGTTAATTTTATCTAGGGCAATGATGTTTCACGTCACCTGAGAGGAGTTGTGATCACGCCGAATTACAAAAACTAAAACTGCTTGACCCCGATATAGTTACTGCACACACAGTATCCTGCAATATGTTGGTTCGTGCCTTCAATGTTCAGAGCGCAAAATGAGCTGGTTGAAACAGGATTGATTTGAATTAAACGATTTGAGAAGATTGCTCATAGCCAAAAGGTGTACTTGAAGCTGGTTGATTCAAGTATTGCACAGCTGTGTTGCTGACGTGCTGACTCTCGAGGCGCTAGCGCTTCGATATCAATCATCTGACGTCAGCTGGGCCAGCCGCGCCGTCGCTTGTACATCTTGGTGGTGAGGTGAGGTGGTGGTGACCCAAGTAGGGAAAGGGAGAAAGGACGTGGCGGCCAACACTCGCTGGCCACGATTTCCGCTCCCAATGTCAACCCGTTTGCCACCTCAGCAAGTTAAAGTCGCGATTCGCAATTTCACAAATTCACAATTGGCACAAAAATATGCTTCCGAAGTGCGAGCAAAAACCTCGTTGGCAATGGCGTTTCCAGCTTTCACCGTGTATGTTTTCTCGTCGAGTTGTTGTGACGCGAGTTCGGCTGATTTGGGAATGTCGTCCAAAGCCTGAACAACGCAGCAAGAGGGCATTTTTTCCTGAACGACCGGAAAATGGCAATTCTGGCGGAGCCGCTAGTGGCCCTTTCACCTTTCAAATGCGCCTGTCGCAAACTAGACAGCACTAGAAGTCCGACCCGCAGGTCTTACCTTCCCTGCACCTCACTATTGCCAGCTTCGCAAGCATCGCGCCGCCACTCGAACCATGGAAGCGCTCGTGTGTTAGATATAAAGCAAAATATCAGCGGCGATAGATATATCGTTCTCCTGACAAGGGTTTCCAGCAACAATACATAGATAGTCTCACTGCAGTGCCTGAGACAGGACTCAATCATCGACTCTAAAAAATTTATAGATTATATATTTTCGTAGTTCGTGTATAGCAGCGACAATGACTCTCCTCTCGCTCGTCGTCCTCGTCTCACTTTATGCCTCCGCCGCAATTCCCCCCTCCAGCGCCGTCCCTCTGCTCCCCTCGCAAGAGAAAGCGCTACTCTCCTTGGAAACCGCGTGGGGAAGCTGCACAGTAACTAACACATGGGTCGCCGGCACTGACTGCTCGAAATGGTCTGGCGTCGTCTGTAACGACGGCGGGATGGTCACCCAGGTCTACATCAGCGATTACTCGTGCACCGGCGCGTTGACGGAATCCGTCGGAAATCTGACGGAGGTGACGCTGCTCGACTTTTCCAATAATTGGCGCATCGGAGGAAGCTTACCCAAAAGCCTCGCGAAACTCCAGAAGCTCGAATCGCTCAGCATTCGCGACAATATCCATGGGAGCCTCTCGGGAGGCCTTCCGGATTTCCTCGGGAAACTCGCGCGGCTCACGTACCTGGGGCTCCGCGGAACGGGGCTTACGGGAGCATTCCGCGCGGGCTTGCGCGGCTGAACCGCCTCGAGTTCCTCGACCTGCAATGGAATCGTCCTCGACGGCGGAATCCCCCCGGAATTGTCCAGCATGGCGGCGCTCAGCGTGCTTGACTTGGGCGGAAATAGGTTGACCGGGTCGATTCCACCGACCCTCGCGAAAATCAAGAGCCTGAAGCGGCTGATTCTCGGAATAACAAACTCTCGGGTGAACTCCCCGTGTCCGTTATACTCGCTATAAAGAGCCTCGAGGAGGTGGATCTGCGCAGCAATCGGTTCACTGGTTCGTCTATCGCGCCCTTGCTGTCCATTCGGCTCTGGCGGACATAAACCTTAGTTGGAATCTTCTTACGGGCAGGATTCCGTCCAAGTTCGGGCAGATGAAAAAGCTGGCGAGTCTGCGATTGGCTGGGAATAGGTTCAAGGGAACAGTCCCTGCGGCTCTGTTGAAAGACATGCCAAACCTGCATACCTTGGATCTTTCCTTCAACAGGCTAGGAGGGGAGTTTCCCTGGGCGAACTTGAAACCACCCCGTTATCGAACATCTTTACCTCCAGCGCAACGCGTTGTGGTGCGCGATTCCTGCAGACGCGTTTCAGAAGGTCCACGTGGCAAGTTTCAACATCTCCTTCAATCTCTTCTCCGGGCCCATGCCGAATCTAGGGTTCATGGGTGGAGAAGAGGAGCCGCCGGTAGACGTGCGCGGGAACTATTTCCTGGGGCAGCCCGGAGTTCATAATGTCCAACCGGAAGGTCTGCCCGGAGGAGGGGCAGGAGGGATCCCGAACTCAGGTGACGACACGAGTATCTTGCGGCGCTGAATTGCCCTCGAAAGAGCGCCACGTGTAACATGAAACAGCAGCGGAGCGCGGCGGCGTGCAGTTGGTTTTTGCGGCACGAGTGCGACAAATGGGCCGTGCTCGGGACATGGTGTGTGCGTTCCAGCAGGAAAGGAGCAGTTCAAGTGCAGGTGTGCAAGTGGGTACAAATCGGTGCAGGGAAAGCCGCACGAGTGCGTCAGAGGCATGAATACACCAGTGATTTCCTCTACTAATAAGGGCCTGTGCGTGTGCGCGATTCTCGCCTAGGAGCGTGAAGCAGGCAATTATGCGGTTCGTGAAATATGTGCTTGTCCGGTGTAAATATGCCAGTTGACAATATTATTCCCCTAAAACTGCTGCATGGCCGAGCGCTCTAAAGCAGTTTCGTGTGCTCACAGAGATTAATTCAAACATGCGCATCCAAACTGTCACAGACTGCATGTTATGAATCAACTTGCAGAGTGCGCAGTAAAACGAATAACGAGAATGGAAATTACTGAATTACTGAATGAAGAACAATGAAGTAGGGAGGCCTAAATAGGGGACAAGCTAGCTAGGCGGTGGGTTCGGGATGGGATGGCTCGGTGATGGTTGCGATTGGAGCGGAGGCCGACTCGGGGGTGATTCGGTGCGACGAAATAGGCAAGACAGGTTCGTCGCGTGACCCTCGGGATTGCCTCGCTAACGAGTGCCTCAGTAAGGATTTGTAAATCCTTACACTGCATGGTTGGATGATTATCGCAGAGTGTCATCAAGCTTATACCGGTAGGTTTAAACTCTGGTATATTGGAGTATACAGTGCTTTTGACATAGAGAAGCAACACTTTATTAGGTGCTGTAAATGGCACCAAGTGTATGGTAATCCTAAACTATGGGCTAAAGGGAGAGCGGGAGGGGAAGGTGGGGGGTGGAGACGGGGGAGGGGTTCTACTTGCAAACGTT